CAGGACAGAATAGACGCCCTCGAAAATTACATTTCTGGGTGTTTTTTCTCGAGCGGTGGCGCATATGGTGGACAACGTGGTGGGCGTCGCGTAACCAGCGGGCGACCGATAAACGCGAAGGTGGCAATTCCAAGCCCCGTGGCCCCACCGCGCGGACGAAGCCAAAAGTCTCGTTCGCTGGCAACGCCAACTCAGACGCTGCTATGTAAGCCGAAGAAATGAATGCGATTTCATTGGTTGTCGATTCAGCAATGTGCGTTTCACGCACGACCGTGCTGATTGCAAGAATGAAGAACATGCTCATTTGAATTGACTGTGAACAATCCCCCGTCTCTAAGGACTGGTTGCACATCGTCCAATTCGTCAGTCGAGACTTGGTATGGTCTGTTTTGGCATGTGTTGTTGCAGCTTTGGATCGTCCGGTACGTTTCGGCAAAACGGTGCAAGGTTCGGCGCTGTTCGTTCTTGCACGAAAAGTCGCGATAACGTATCTGGCACTACATGCAACTCTCCCGGTTTACGTTTTACCGTGAAATCGAAGGATTGCAGTGCTATTGCCCATCTGGTGAGCATATCTGATGTCTTGCATCGTGTAAAGATATCGCCACATCGCACCAAACGAAATAGCCAACCTCCGGTGGCAGTGGCAGGTCATGGCCACCACGCTCCGGACTCTCCGCTCACCCAGAGTAGAGGGCTCCATATGTACGTCTTTTATTTTTATTCTTTTCAACGAAACAATTTAAAGGTACGAGCCCGAGGTCTTGGTTTTCGTGGAGGAGAACGGGTCGGCGCTCTCCCTCGACCCCACCAAGCCTTGCACGGAGGAGCAGAGCGGCTGGCGTGAGCTGGCGGCGGAGATTCGCAGCAGCTGAGCTCGCGAACGGGAACATCACCACCGGTTTCCGCACGGGCATATGTTCAAGTCTACATGCGCTCGCTCTTTATGTAAGCGGGCTTTGATTTCGACAAGCTCGTAACAGTTCAGTGTATGCATATCGTATGTAGAGTTCGGTATATCCACATGCTAAGTGACTCAGTCTGTGTTCGTTCTTGTCAACGTTAGACGGAAAGCTATTATAGTGGACTTTTGTTGTTCTATGTTATCATACTTTCTACCGGATTCTCTCTCTCACGTTTCCCAGGAGTTTCCGTGCTGTTTGTTTTCGTATGTTGGGTTGTTCGGAGTTATCTTGTTTTCGCCTGTTTTGGTGTTGCCACGCGCGGCTGGGGGGGAGGGGGGGGGGGGGGGGGGGG